TTCATTCTTTTTAATTCATTTTTCGTAATTCAACATTCTTATTATTACAATCATTAAATTAATCAGCAAACAAATCTGTTCCACATATCCATGATATATACAGAAGATCTTATGCACTATTATATATATTAATCAGCTCACTAACACTGATGTTGATTATCTTTCAAAATTATAACTTGATCAATTTTTCAAAAAAAATTGAAAGTCTGACGCTTGTTATCCTTAATTACTAAGGTCTGTAATGGGGGGAGAGGGGGGGGGGGTAAGTCTGCAATGTTCTCTTTCTCCGTTGCTATGGTCTGTAATGGGGGCCTGTCTGTAAGGAGGGGGTGCGGGGGGGGAGGTGGGGAGCCGCCAAACCTCGAACTTAAAACTTACACTCACTATTTTCTTCGAAAATATATGTGAGTTCCACAAAATATTTCCAATAATGTTATACAAAGCCACTGTTATATTATCATTTATTATAAAGATATTGCCCTTAAAAATAACTAATGATAACAAGTCATCGATCGTTTATTGTCTACTGCATAGGATCATCAGATCACTCTTATTTCGTTAACTATAATTTGTACGTATCGAAAAAAGGAATGATAATACTCGATGTAGCATCAAACACAGTAGTGGTACAATCATTCGTTCCCACCTGTCCATTGCAGAATGCCGGTAATGTCTTACGAGGCCATGAATGTTGTCCTCCATTGATCTTGTATCCTATGACAATACCACCTATTGCACAGTTCGTATTCCACGTTTGAATTTCAACCGATTGTTGAGGATCTGTTTGTTGCGATAGATGAGAGATTGTCGATGTGTTCTGACAACCATTGCGTGATGCCCATCCTTGTCGAAAATTGTCAATACTGACTTGTGTACCACCATTTGATTGTCCACCATAGTATGACACGACAGTGTCTGCAGTACCATGAAAGTCGAGAATGGGTATGGCACGTTGAGTGGGGCAATTTCCGTTGAATGTAGTCGTGTAGAAAGCTGCTGAGACAGTTGCAAAGGCAGCAATCTTTGAAGCTGTCGATAGTGTACAGGCTAGAAGGTTGACGAATCCTGCACCTAGAGAGTCGCAAAAAACATTATACAGCTTTCATATATTTTACAAACTTGAAGTATGACAATAGTAACGGCTGTATGAATTACCAAAAGTTTATAACCGCTTAGAATTGAAAATATTCCTCACGGTTTTTGAAACTGTTCCTGTGTTTTTTCTCGAAAGAATTCCCGGGGAAAAGTCGGAAATTCGAGCTCTTTTGGCCTGTACGCTGAAGTTGGATTATTACTACGACAATAAGATTTAGGAAAAAAAAAATAAAAAGACAGAAAAGAACTTTTATAATAGATGGTTCCACCTGAATGTACCGAAAAAAGTCTTCTAGAAAACTGACTTTCGTTCACGAAGTTCATAAATCCTGTTGGCACACACAGTAGAGTTTCTGTCCTTTTTGTAGTGCTCTTCAATCTTCAAAAATAAGACTTCTGGCAAGTTTTTAGGTTTTACCTGATCTTGCATTTTTTTTTGTTCTCTAGAAGTCTCCTAGATTTTAATGATCACTACATTTAGAATTGGGCAAGAAAATGGCATCGAACAAAATATATTTGAACCAAATGTAATGGCCTTCTTCGATGAGCAACGAACAGAAGCCTGTCGAAAAATAAAAGCTCTTTGGTTGTGTTTCCTCTAATTTTTGGGCAACTCTCTCTTGAAATGAAGAGTGTAAGTTTACAGAACAAAATTTCTGCACCCATCCTCTCTACAGATACTACGGGTGTGACACTAGAGCACTACACGATAGATGTTCACTCTTGACATCGAAAATGTTGCGCTGACGGACCTGTTGCCCCTGTTTCGAAATATGCTATTTTTTTGGAAACTTTGTAGATTTATAGAAAACAAAACTCTAGGTTTCAGATCAAAAATTCATTGTGCGGTATATAAATCCGTTTTATTTTTAGTTTTCTTTTTGAAGAGCTATCCAAAATTTCGTTTGTGTAACGAAGGAATAACTTACGGAGAACATGTTTATAGCAGAAGAAAAAAAACGTTTAATATATTCGATCATAAAGTTGGCTTTCTTAAAAATCATGATAGGAATAATTTATAAAATTTTGTAATCGCTTTCGAAACACCTTAGGCCTATTCATAAGTAGGTCGAATCTCTAGGCTCGATGAAAGAAGCAAGTTTTGGATTTTTTGTTTCATGATTTTCCAATCCCTGCGATTAATGTCCAATACTGAGAGTCACCATAAAGAATCTTTCTGGATCTACGGTAGAGTTCTGTAAGCTTTCGTTGAAAAAATCAATGGACAGTAGAATGTTTAGGATTGTCTCTAATGAACTTTTTTCGATTTATTTGAACGAAAAATTGCAGGGCGCTAACATAGGTCAGAAAAAGTTTTTATAGTGACTTCCAGTATCTCAAATCAATCACAGGGATTGAGAAATCATGAAACGAAAAATCCAAATATTGATACCATAGGACCAATTCGACTCTAATTGCTCGCATTCCTCATAGAAGATAGCTACATCCAACTCACTCACTGCTTTGCATAATCGAGATAAACTTCCATTGCTTTAGATAGTCATAAAAAAGGTATCAGGGTAGCCCTCAAGGGTGAAGGTAAAACTCTCTCTCTCTCTCTCTCTTGAAGAAAGTCCAAGTACGGCTTTAATATCAGATGATTTCAGGTCTTTAAAAAGGATCAAAAATGGTTAAAGCCCCAAAACCAGCGTCCTATTCACAAGGAGAGTAGATGTGCAATACAAAGTCTGTCCGGCGGGAGAAGGATGCCCCAAAAAAAGTCGACAGATAACCAAAACTCTTTCTTTTGTTTGTTCTGAAGAGAGTTCTACAAAATATTTAAAAGATTTTCCATGCTTGTAGTAAAAACTCTACGGATCTGCACACTAATTTCACTGAATATTCAGTAACCGAAGAAGCATAAGTCAGAAAGAGCTGAGTCGTACTTTTTTAAATCGTATATCCTTGGCTTTCTTTTTCTCTTCTTTAAAATACATTTGTATAGGGGCCTCGAAGTAGTACGGGGATATATATTAATTACACTTGGATAAAGACTCTAACCCTTGAGATAAATAGTAAAAATTGCAACATACCATTACTCTTGCCTGTTGCATAGATTCGAGACGAATCGACGCAAAATTTACTTTCCATGTCGGAAATCATTGTAAGCACAAAGAGAACCTATATTAATAACTCGTTCTCAATAGAAATGGAAGAAGGTCGAAAAGGACTCACATCATCTACACCAGGAGTAGAATATGGTGCACCTTGCCAAGCAGTTCCTCCATCCGTTCCTTTCGTTCCCAGAGGATAGACAGCAATGATTCCCGTACCGTTGATAAGTACACCTGTTAGAGATAATTGAGACAGATCCTCTTGCTTCGCCATATCTCCATTGTGACCATGAAAGGAGAAGACAATAGCGTGTCCTTGATCGTTTTTAAAGTTGGCTGAAAGGTGCACATTGTACTGACGAGCGGGTTGACCATTTTTCTTGGGAATCGTTATTGACGTCGTTTGACCCGCAGAAAAGCCAGTTGGAAGAGGTTTTCCACATCCAGGGCTCAGTGCACATTCCGATGAAAGGATCGTCAGAGCGAGAATGCTCACCCAACAAAGTAGAAGCTGTTGTCTCATGAATGTCTTCGAATGAATGAAGTGACACGGTGTGACACGAGCTGACTTTATATAAAGAATGAGAGAACATAGCCATGATTAGGGTGCGCTCTCTCTCTCTCTCTCTTTTTCTCTCGACCGTTTAATGGCGCGAAACCCAATATAAGTAAGTATAGTATACTGTTGGAAAAAATATTACTCCAGGGGGTAACACCATCATTTTAAATAGAGTAACTGATGAATTTTATAGCAAATGAAAGCTTGTGAAAAACGGGATTTATTGATACTAAATAGTAAGGGTTATGAAGACCTTAGTGTGTTAAACTCTCAAAGTTTATATAATTCTGTAAAATGTAAAGGTTATATTCTGCTTTTACTGACTTAGAAGACAAAGAAAAAGAAATTTTCTTAGAAAAAATTTAAATGGCAATGTTCTAGTGATCATATAGCGTAGCCTTGACTGAAAGGATATTATTATCTTTTCGCGTTCTGTTGTCTATGCCTCGTGGTAGAGGTTAGTAAAAAGATTTTTTTGTTTTTTGTCTCGGACAAAGTTACGAAAAAGAAAAGTTTAAATAGTTAGTGAAGTGGTATATAAGATTCTTTTCTGATCGATATATATATCATAAAAAGAGAATATATTCTTCTGGTAAATCGACGAATTTCTATTACTTGAAAATGGCTGGTGCTTATGATGCTGAACAAGAGAGAACGATTGACAGAATTAAATGCATCGCTTTTCGTGAAGCTCGTGGTGCTGGTGCAATATTTATTAATTGAAAAAGGATAGCGGACAAAATTCAACGCACAACCCGATTTGTTACAGAATGGTGGGAAAAATCATATAACCAATGTTTTACTCATTATTCAAACGCTAGCCGCCAGCTCAAACTATCACAAGCAAGTTAAGACATCATTCATAAAGCAAGTGGTCGACAAGGGAAAAGTTGTTCTATTGTGACGAAAGAGATTGTAGAAGAGCAAAAGGAAAGCGTCATTGGAAAAACAATCAATAATTATCGTCACAGAGAAGGATTGAAGCCATTCCATGTTATTCCAAAGCCATTAAAATCTGAAACTCATATATCAGATCGTTTATAGCTACGCGACTGGTTAGAGATTGGACTGAAGAGCACTTTCTTCATCTCGCACCATCTGACGAGTTTTATGTCTGGCTTGTTCGTAGACCAAATTATCAAAATGATAGAATTTTGGCCTTAAGTGTCGAAGATATGGAAGAACATGAAAGGTACCGTGAAATGGTTCAAAATCAAATATACATTGGGACTTTTATTATGTTTACTTGTAAGAGATTACTTTGGGTGATTAAAGATAAAGGGGAATCTTGGACTGATGAATATTTTCGTGATATAATTTTAACTCAAAATGTAATGCCTTTTTTAAATAATGAAGAAAATGTTATTGATCCTGATGAAGTTACATTTGTTCATGATAAGGCACCATGTATGCGAGCAAATAAAACTCAATATTTTCTTCAAGGCAACAATGTTAAGTTTTGGGATAATGGTATCTGGCCAGGAAATTCACCTGATCTCAATGTGGCGAAACGTATTGGATCAATAAACAAAGATGAAGTTGAGAAAAAAATGTTATCAGAAACTGGGCATAATCGGTATCTTGAAGACATACTCAAAATGCACATTACAAATGTTTTGACCCATATGGAAACAGATACAGACTTATTTGAAACACTTTTACGTTCGTATCCATTACGCCTTCGTGTAGTGAAGAATGCTAACGGTCGTCACACTCATTATTGATTCTATTCATTAAATGATGAAAAAATAAACTATTTTGGAACACATTTAGTGCAAATTTTACCTTGAAGATAGTTTTTCTCTTACTTCATGTCAATGAAATATTATAGATTTCGATAGTTTAATACCCTAAGGTCTTCACAATTCTTACTATTTAGTATCAATCAATCCCGTTTTTCACGAGCTTTCATTTGCTATAAAATTCATTATTTACTCTATTTCAAATGATGGTGCTACCCCCTAGAATAATATTTTTTCCAACCATGTATATATATATATAAATGAACTATAACTACAGATAGTATGTAGATACATGTGAATTATAACTACTAATAATTAAAACTAAATCTATTTCTATCCATTGCTATTCTTAAAGGAGTATGTATATATTTGAATTATAACTGCAAGTGAATAAAATTAAGTCTACTGTTATCTATTCCTATTGTATGCTGAAATTATAATTCAAGTTATTTCATTTATTTTTGAAGTGATATCAAGCAGTTGAAATGTTCATTCATATTCAAAGTCGAGTTAGACAATTCATATTTATTTTAAATATAAATTTTACAAAATTTAGTTTATGTTAAATTTAATCTATTTGCACTTCGTTGTGCATCTGACTGGGATGAAATATGAAAAATAAATAGATTAATTTAATTTAACTTATAATTTATTGAATTATAAGTGAAGTGCGAATAATTTAAATATAAAATAAATTAAATTTGTATACATTATATTTAAAATGAATTAAATTGTCCACAATTTAAATTTATTTCAAATTTAAATTGCTAATAATTTAATTTACGCATAAATCACAGCGAAAGTCAACATAAATGGACATCTATACTCTAGTCAATGGAACCCTATTCATGAACTAGAGTAATTGACAGTGTACGTGGAAGAATGAGGATGAAGGCATTAAAGACTGTGAATGCCTCTGTATGTTTGATCTAGAGAAGAACCATATGTTCTAAATTATAAATATAGTCGTGTATGGACTGTGCATCATCGTATGAGATGTGTTCGTACACCGTCGTTTGGTCACCAGGTTAGTATAATGTGATAAGAGATATATGATGATATTGAATTACGCTATGTATAGTATATCTTATAACAAAAAGATCTCCAAATCAAAAGATCCCTTTAAATTGAAATCTCTATTTGGTCACCAAAATAGACTAAATGTTTTCTTATACACAATTGTGCTTTTATCTAATGATTGATTCTGGAAATCAGAATATGTGGTAAACGATAATCGACTCACGAAAATATTCTTGATTCCATCTTTACCATACTGTATCATATTTTATTTTCATCGGCATAAATCTTTTCGAATGAAAGAAGAATAAAATACTAAATTGTTGCATTTCTACATTACCATTCAGAAACTAGATTAACAGTCCAATTGATAGACACTTTTTGAACAAAATGACTTTGTAGTAGCTAATCTCAGCGGTTCATTTTCGCGCAGAATTTCGGAAAGTTTTTCTCTCGAGGAAAACAATCGCAATGATAGGAAAATAACACTATAGAGGGCTAGTGGTTCTACTTGTGCAGCGAGAAAACTTACTCGATACTCATGAAAATAAAGGCTTCTGACTAGACAGCACTTTTGAAAGACATACACTTACTCGTTGAATTCGTGCGGAATTTTGTGTTTACTACACCGGGATAACAGTGTAATGTATCGACGTTGTCTTATGAGTGAGAATAAAGCAATATGTTGCCTATATATAGGTCGAGAAATAAGTTTGAACTTTGTACATAATTACCTTTGTATGGATTAATAGAACATGAAATATTAATCATATACTAGATGAAGTGCACGCTGTTCTACATAGTGATCTATTTTTTTTACACAATGCACAGTACGAACAAAATATTATGCTTTCACTGACCATTTTTTCTCGCTCAATGGCATAATCTTGATCAAATTCAATCTCGAACGACGCTTTCATATATAATCAAAGCTATCTGTTTTACGTCTACAACCACAATCACATTCTTATGTTTGTGAGAAATCTAATAGATAATCTATTCTCAGTTTACAAGCATATACTCTTATTTTTCTTTTCTACCATTCAATGGTTCCATATTCTAGGAAACACATTTCGCAAGAATAATTCATAAGACCTATTCTCAAAGAGCGTTTAAATAAAAGTTACAGTTTCCATCCCTTCGTCACATTCACTTTGACTGAACTTCTATCTCTTTGATGAACGATTAAAAGAAATTTTTGAGTAACAAAATATTTATTTAAGTATAGTACTTGTCTAATATTGAATAAAAGATTATCTATAAAGTGTATCAGACCTAGAAATGACATACGTATGTGTGTTTTAGAAAAAAAAATCTAGATTGCTTGAACAACAAATTAAAGTAAGGTCTATCAGAAGGTTTTTAATTTCTTTTCTAATATTTATGTTCGTGAACCTATAATAGTAGAAGGATATAAGAAGGAAAATAAAAAGCTACTGATGCACCCCAATGATATCGAAAAATATGACGATATCCTTGTGAACCTCATAATTATTGACGTCGTGGTTCTGTAAACTGCTGTACTTTTTCTCATCGTCCAAAAAATCGATATATCATGCATCTATAATTTATTCATTCGTCTTCAATACAGCATAGGATCGAGACCAGACACCATTTTAAAATGCTTGTTAGATAAACTTCGTTGAACAGAGCAATCAGATCAAATGGCTAATCTTTATGAACACTATTCTAATCAACTTTCTAATTTTACTTTCAAAACAAAATATAATACTAAATAAAGCAAATATAGCTCAACATTTTGATAAAGAAGAATAATTTCAAATGAAGTCCTTTTTGTTAAGAAATTACGAAGATATGATATACTCAATAACTAACAGATGTGTGATCGGTTCACGATTTTTTGGAACCAAACCACACCGATCCAATCCCATATAACTAACTATATTCCCTTACATATGTGTTTGGCAGGTCTTAGCGTTTAAATTAGATTAAATTAAAGATCATTGTGTATCAGTTTTTTGTGTAGAGTTTTACCTTACTTTAATAACAAAATAACAGCATTGAATATAGCAAGTAGACCTCTATATCTGTGTATAAAGAAATAGACTTATGTAAACATTGAAATTTCTAGAAATTTTTAAATAAACTGTGCTCTATAATCGATCGTCTTATGGGCTATTTCTTCAATCTAACAATGTCTTATTCCGTATCCATTCGTGTACGATCGATAATTTGACAAGAAAGGCTTCATATGATTGCAAGCTGATTCCACATAAAAATTAGAACATGAAATGTAAAAGTTGTGGTAGATGTTTTTTTTTTTAATTTGGTATTGAATTTGGAATAATCATATCAACTGGTTCGAAATTTTCTATCTTGTACTTACTCAATAAAAAATACATCATTCGAAAGAGCATAAAAAGCTTAACAAAATGTAATCATTTTTTCGGAGGCATACTCCAAAGTCTCAAGCAAAAATTTTTAAAATAGATTGTCAACCAGAAACAGCAAAGATCATTCCATCTCTCTATATCTGTTTCTCCGATTGACCTATGTTTTTGTTTTTTTATTTTTTTTTTCATCATTCTGTTTGACCTGTATACGAGTGTATACATTCATATGCATGACAAACAGAAGGATGAAAACAAAATAACAAAAAAAAAAAGGTCAATCAGAGAAAGAGATATAGAGAGACGAAATGATTCTTATAGTTTCTGCTTGATAATCTATTCTAAAAATGATTGCTGAAAACTTGAGAGTATGCCTCTGAAAAAATTAATAGATTTTGCTGAGCATTTTATGCGCTTTCAAATGATGCATTTTTTTGACTGAGTTAACACAATATCGAAAATTTCAAAACGTTCGATATGATTTAATAAAAATGAGCACAACTGTTTAGATCTTATCGTATCATTTATGCAACACTTTGATGACTAGTTTTTATCAATGCAGAAAAATAATCTGTTTTACTGTAAATATATGATCTAGCTTCATCGCTTAATTTGATATTTTTGTTTCAAATTATCATATAAATATTTAAAATAGCAGAAATCACTGTATAAATGATTCTTATCTAAATCATCTATGTGAAATACATTATCAACATCTAAATATTCTCCTATTTAAAAAAAACTGAAATGATTGTATATGAAAAAAATGATAGATTTTCAAAAGACGCACTATTATTATCGAAATAAAATCTAATATAATCGATTAGCTTATTGATAAATAATTCAAATGCTTTCATTAATCATCTACTTTTGCTTTCGTCAGTTTCTTTTTTGTTTATTTTTGTACTAAACGTATATTATTGCCATAATACGTGACAAACAGCTTTTGACGTAGTTTGATGATTGTATTAGTAATTATAAAATGAAGATCAGCTATTTTGTTGTATATGAAAATTGTAATTATACTACAATATTTTGAAAATCAATGTGAGCCTTTCGTTGTGAGGAAAGAATATCAAAATCTTCTATCGCTGTATATCACTCAAGCTAAATTATATACACTTCAGAGAAATTGTCTGTTGCACAAAATGAAGGTTTATGTAAAAGACGATCTATCATAACTGATATTGGTGATATTGAAATAAATTTTAATAATTTAATTGTTATGATTTTTTTTTATTTCGAAAGAGAATAAAATAATCTTAGTTCACTTATTTTTGATGAAATATCAATTTGAGCTTCGTTAAATTAGCTGTTTATTTATATCATACTTTACTTTTATCTTTAGATGTATTCGAAGTATCTTTCATGCTGATAATCAAAAAGAAACGTATAGTAAGAGAACGAAAGGCAAAAATTTACTCTTGCATCGTTTGTGCTTTAATAATACTTTTCCGATGATTATTATGGATGCTATCCCATTTTGTATTTTTAACATAAACCATTATTGAAAAGGCATCGATCATAATATTTTTATCATAATATTAAACATACAAAAATATATATTAATATATATAAATCACTGAGCATCATATTATTTAAAAAACCAAGCTAGAATACTCTTTTATGTGAGTATAAGATTTTAGACTTTAAACAGCTTCTTCCATGTTTTTTTATCATTTCGTCTAGCTTAGTATTAGCCTGAATAAATCGGTTAGCAAGAATGATACAATTGATAAATGAATTAATATCAACGTCTTTCATATATGACATACAATCTGCACTCTTCTACGGACAAAAATATACTCCTTTTTCAATCGTTTTCTTTTTTTTCTTTCTCTTGTATTGTCATATTTACATTTGTGTATCATGGTTTAGATTATAGGGTCAACTGTATTATTTTGTATATACATACTGTATTTTATTTATGTGTTATTCTTTTTTGTATTTATTTCAAAATGATCTATTTTGATGATATTGAGAGAGCATAAACAGCAATGTAAAGAAGAAAAATATCCTCTTTAACGTTTTTCATTTTTGGAATGTAGATATGACTAAATGTGTCTTTTTTCTGAAAGCTGATTGTTTTCTGTTAAGTGCTTTTTAATGGCCTTTAAGGTTTTCTCAACCTTTTGTTTTGCAATGATGCATGGTTTTGTCATCTGAGAATGGAAGAAAATTTTGTGGCAGGTTATTACACACAATTCACTATTTCTTTTTCTCGATGTTACATAAATTGTGTCTATGTTTTGCAGCCATGTGATTTTGTTTAATTCTTTGATTAGGAATGGATCATAACCAAAAGACAACTATACTTTGAATTGATTATGAGATTTTGGATAGATTTACACTGGTCCTCATTCAGCAACATTGAAAGGTGTGCAGTGGAAATTCTAGAAACTATGATGGAAGTGATGTCGATCGTATTTTCTTCTGTAGCATTTGTTACTTACAGAAATACCATATTTTTTAAAAATTTAGTCTTTTCAGTTTCGAACACTATTGGTTCAAAAATGAAATATATTTGAACCTTATTTGTTCTCAGACTAGTTTACAGCGATTTTTTTTCATAAAACTAAGAGAGCGGCATGCAGAATATATCAAGTGAAGGCTAAAATTAAAAATTGTTCAAGATCTTTTTGTCATTTGATATCATCAATAATCTATATGCATGGAAAAGAACGTCCCTCATCATCATCATCATCATCATCACACGATTTTTTTTCTTTCTCATTTCTTACCTGACAAGGTAATATCATTGTGTTTTTGATTGATATGATTTGCATTTTCTTGACATTTCGAATGATTATTTATATTATTGTCTAACGATTATAAATTGTAATCAACGAAAAAAGAAATAATGTCTGTCACAAGGATAAATCATCTATCCATAAAAATAAATACTTGTTTTGCATCAAAATGATTGTTATGAGAAGGCCTACCGAAATTTTTTTTTGAATTTATTAAAGTTTCTTCTAAACTCCGAATTTTTTTGTATTATATGCTCTAAAAATATTATATTTTTGATTGGATTGATCGGAAGAATTGAATCTTAACTGTCTCTTGAAAAATATCTATTCAGAAATGTCTCATACTTGTCATCCTCATAAATGTTTGTTCATATATATATATATACGACACAGTTGACATGAAAATTCAATTAAGTTTGGAATGCATGTTAATAGCATGAATCAAACGATAATTAATGTTTGTTTACTATTGTATTGAACTTTTATAATTTTAGCAATTCTAAATGATTGATCAAGCTTCTATGATTTATTTTGAATTATTTTAAAATATTGACGTGTAGAAAAGTTTCATTTTTAACCATTCTTATCTAGTGACTGTTAGCATTTTATGAATTTTATTCATTTTCTTACATCCAATTAAGAAACATATTCTATGCCTGTTTGTTTTCAATTACATAAATTGTATATATATATATATGTTTTTTTCATATGAATCTCTTACAAAAAAAAAGAGCATTGCTAATTCTACACTACGATCTTACGTTGATAAACTTTCTCACAATAAGTCTATTGAATAGAAAATTAGCAATCTATTTATATTCCAATTATTACTCAATCAATCGAAAAATAGATCGACTGCTATTCTGAATAGCATAAATCATTCAATTTCAAGTTTTTAACAACGAATTTGCTTACACTAAACATTTAATCGACCATTCAATCCTCCATATCATGAGTATTGAAAAAAAAAATTTATTTTATTAAAACAAATAGATCAAAAATTCTTAATTTCTTTCCAACTAATGATTCGATATTCTCATATTCCGAGCACCGATATAGAAACTACACTATAAGGAAAATGATGAGTAAGATTTATTTTTACAAAAAAAAAAGAATAAATAGAATGACTAATGGCTTTTCATGACCAAAATATTAATATGAGAATATTTTTTATTATTCGAAAAGTCATAGTAAATATAAATTTGATAAGTAATAAACATGTCTTCTTGAATATGTGTTAGAAAAATTTTTAAACAAACGAAGTGAACTAAATGATGCCAAACTCAACTGTAACATATACAATATTAAATAAAGATGATATATTTAGTTTAAATTCTTCAATTACAAAAAATTTTCATGAACATGTTAAAAAACCAGAAGATGAAGAAGCAAAAAAAAATTTAAATATTGAAATGCCAATAACAACAATCAAAATTGGTTCAATAATTGATGAAAAACCGATTAAATCAATGAAAATAATATTAACAAATGCAAAAACAATTGAGAAAGATATTAAAATGCATTTAAAACGAGTATTAACAATAAGTTCTTTTAATTGTCTTATTTCAGTATTAATTTGTACACAAACAGAAGCTAAACTTTATAAAGCTTTTATTGTCGATGCAACTTCAGCTAAGATATTTTATCAAAGAAAAAAACTTTCCAGTTTCATTATGAAAACATGAAAGTTAATAAGAAATGATGGTATTGTGGGGAAAAAATTATGAGTTATCAATTTTTAAGTTATACACTACTTTAGTATAGAATCATTATAATATAAGCTATTTCATATAAGCCACGAGTGACTCTCACAGAAGTTGCTCAATCGATGATCACTGATTTAGCTAGGTTTATATATGATATAGGAGCAAGTGTTTGATGAGTTTCTGCGGAAGCAATTGAGAAAAATAATTGTTCTGTTCTTGAGATGTCTAAATTTTTCTGAAAGCAGAATCCTCGTCAAAAAATTACATTTTTGTCATGTACTAGGTGTTATGGATCAACTTCATCAATGGTTCATCCATTTGAGCTCTTGTTCGATGAGAAATACTTAAATTTGAGATGGACTTCTAGTAAAAATTTCAAGCGAAATGGATGTAGCGTTGAAGAGATGTGGATTCCAGAAAAAATCGCAAAAAGATATTCTTTTTAGGTGATAGTGCTCTGAGAAAAATGTAGATATCTCAAGAACGGAATAGTGATTTTTCGAATGGCTTCCGTAGAAACTCATCAAACACTTGCCCCTATGCCATATATAAAAACTAGCCAAATCAATGATCATCGATTGAGCAGCTTCTGTGAGAGTCACTCGTGGCTTATGTGGAATAGCCAAAGGGAGAAAAAGTGAGACTTCAAGTACTTCTGAAGTACGATGAAATACAAGCGAAGTCTCGCTTTTTCCCCCTTGAGAATAGCTCATATTATAATGATTCCCTACTGAAATAGTACATAACTTAACGATTGACTATCTCTGTCCAGATACATCATAGGCAGCTCATATTTTAAATTCATTAGTTTCTCAGTGAGAGTGCTTCTTTGACTTAAACATGGTCAATCTATTTTTACAAACAATATAAACCGTTCTATGGTTGGTGAACCAACTGTAGTCACATTTAATGTAAAATTATTTTTAATGCATCTTATTATACGTAATACACATAGAATATTTAAATCATATACACATAATTGGTTAATACCAATAAGTCATATGTGTAATCAAATGTTTGAAAAATATTCTTAAGATTTAAATACATTTATTATTGATACAATTGTTATATTATTATCATGGAATATTATAGGAATAACAAGTGAATTGGATGCAATATCAGTACTACAACGTCTTATTAAATATTTATTTCTTAATTGTACACATAAAAATTCTCTTGTAATGAAATCAAATTTAGATTTAATTAAAAAATTTGTTGAATTATGGAAAGAACGTATATATCCATCAACATTAATTATATATAAATTAATATCTGATCAACATATTAAATCAAAACAAAATGCTATAGGTCTTTTATTAATTGGTATATTATGAGCCAATCATATATTACCATATAATATAACAAATAATTTAACTGAAGATAGATTTAATAAAACATTATTATAAAGTATGAAAAATTCTTATAAAAATATTTATACAACAGCTACAGAAGATGTTAGAATGTTATTAAATATTAAAAAATTAAAAAATGAATCAAATTAATATTTACTAGACTAATTAAGTTTTATATTAAAATGGCATAGTAGTCAAATTTTACAAGATACATATATTTATTGATTACAAAAATATCATCCTAAAATTGTTGATAAAACATAAGAAGATTTTCGTTTTTTTTCAAAAGAAAAGAAAAAAGAAAATCTTGTTTAATTTTAGTGGTATGAATAAATTAAGGTTTGATTTGAAAAAAATCATATGGAGATTTTAAAATGAAATGTTTAGAAGTAATGATTCTGAATATTACAAAATTTTATTTTATTTATTTAGAATTAAAAGCAGCGAAAATACTTGATATTATTATTCATAAATAAATAAAGTTACCTGTATAATAGATATTATTATGTATTCTTGAGAGTGATTTGAATCTTTTTATAAGCTTTGCAATCGATCTGATATACCTTGAAAAAGAGCACGCATGATACTTGTATTTAAGATCATTATTCTATTGTAGAAATCAACCAGATGAATCTTGGGAAAAATGATTTCAAATATTAGATAGAATGTTATTCTCGTGGATGTCATAGACGAAAGTTCATGTCGATTTGTATTTGATAGTTGTTAATTGCCTGAGATTTTTTTTACGAAAAATGCACGAGATTAAAATAAGAAAAAAAATGAAGAACAGAAGGAATATTTTTGTCCAGACTTGTACAGTGTGAAAACGGGACACTCTTAGTTATAGACTAACATGAAACAAGTTATTCCACCTTTCATATTAAAATTCGAAAGTAGCTTCGAAGATGTAGGATATTATACCTCTATTATTTGTATTCGATGACTAACATATCTTGGATTGTCCGTGTTAGAGACCTACGATCCAAGGTTTTTGGACCTGGACTCGGCCTGATCAGATAAACCTTCATACTGGGATTCAGTGGGATCCAGATCTCACTCGACAATCTCTAGTTGTGACACAAACTTGCTATTCCAATCAGTCCTTATACTAATTTCTTAAGACAACTATTATCGTGATAGAAATTGTTGATGAGGAACACGAGCAATCGAATGAGAAGGAATCTGCATCAGACTACAATTTGGCGGATATTTCTAAAGTTTGTAGACTATCGTATAAATACCAGACTTGTCAAAATTGTCTTTAGCGATATTCTACATCAAATATAGAAGGTGAAATTTTCTTCTTCTTTTTGTTTTAATTTTAACTATGATGATAATTTATTGACTTCTACATTTTTTATATAACCTTTTACCAAAATTAACTCAAGAACAATTATTTGAAATCGCTCAAATTTTATCTGTTGATGTACCAAGCCAATGTCAATTTTGCATACTTGAAGTTTATAAATAGATGCACAATTATATAACATAATATTTAACAAGTGAAACCAAAACATCTTTCATATCAATATCTGAAACATTTTATCATCATATACATGAGCAATTACTTCAAATTTTTATCAAGTGAAAATGAATATATACATATTAATTATTGAAATTTTTGGTGTGATTCAAAACGTTTAAGTATATCATCATATCATTGTCTTATTGCATTAATTGATCAATGTCATTCGATAAAAACTGAAAATAAATATTTAAATTATTCTACTAATTTTCTTCTTGAACGTACAACACATACTCCTGATTATAATCGTTTTATATTCGAAAACCCACTTGATAAATGTATATTTCAAAAATTTCCATTAGTATATAATTGGCGCCTTTATTTCCATTACAGTTCTAATCTATAACTGATCAATCAACAACAACGAATGCTAATCTAATGACAATAGATCCCATTCATCTTAAGCAAACATTAATTAATAATAGTAATATCGATCAACAACAACATCAGCAGAGTTCAACATTAGGAATGGTTTTACAAATTACACAAGAAATATCTAATTGGCAACAATTTTTATCAATATAAATATTAGATAATACGACAACTTATAATCGGCTTAAACAAACAAATACATTTCCTTTGCCAACATTATCAACACAAACAAAAAGAACATCATTAACAATTAATGTTGATAATAGAAATAAATAAAAAAATAAATCAAATACATCAACAATAATATAATATTGATAAAAATGATAAGATATATATACACATATTGTAAAGAAAATCTAAGTTCATGTAAAAAATTTCTTTGAATTATTCAGAATGATAGAGCAAACAAAATGTTGTACGTTGACTCTTGTCTGAACTACATCAATTTTACAGATGAGTAAAATTTTTTTTTATAGAGAATAACAAAAAAAACAATGAATTTCTGTAAAATTGCAGTAACTTATTTCAAAAGTACCGTCTATAACAATGTGTGCTATCATTCTATGCGATTTATTAGAAATCTTTAGATTAAGTGTAGGTGTGGGTGTCGTTGAAGAGAAGACCAACACCGACCCGCACCCTCATTGCGTGCCAAGACTTCCATTAGTGATAAAAATCGTCATTGCTACCAAATTATGTAATCGGCATAGTACTATTCCACTAAACTTTGATTAATATGAGCAAAAACGTCTTGCACTTGTCCATCAAAATCACCCACTAGAGAACGATTGATATAAAGTTCTACGGGTTTGGGTGGGTGTCGGTGTGGATGTGGGTGTGGGTGGGGTGTGGGTGGGGTGTGGGTGGGGTGTGGGTGTGAGTGTGAATCTTTTCTTTAACAAGGACCCACCCCAACTTTAAGATCTCTATCAATAGCTTTAACTAAAGCTT